AATTTGTCTGTTTTTGTGGGTTTGGTTCTTTTTTTTTTTTTTTTTTTTTCTGATTGTGTTGTACTGTCTTTTTCTGTTGTTCTCTGTTGTCTATTGGATTTGTGTTTTCAATTTTTGTTGCAGAGATGGGAATTGAACTGAGCACAGCCAAACTGCCCCTGAGCTGCATGAAACATTTTCAGGATTATTATGAGGTAGACCACTCCTGGCTGCCTCTATGCTAGCTACGTACTGAAGTCCGCTCTGTTCCTGTCCCTCTCTCTGGCTTTGCAGAGCCTGCTGTTTAAGGCCCTTCCCAATGCCCTCCTGTTTGAGATCCTTTTCCCTCACTCTGCTTCTGAAGAAGCCTTTTTCCAGGTTGCTCTGTCTCCCAGATGGCTCCTGTCTCTGACCATGGAGTTCTGGCTGTGGCCACTTCCCTGCTGCTGGGCTGGAGTGACATGAACACCCCTAGTGCGCAACCCTGATGGGCACTAGAAGGCCCTGTTCAGCCTCCTGCTCCTCTCTGCACCATTGCAGCTGGCCTGTACCCAGAATTTCTTATCTCTAAGCCTTCTTTGTACACTGCTTGCTCACATCATCTGTAACAACATTTTCAGAGGTTCTAACTCCCTCTTCTCACCTCCACCAGCACATACCTACATGAAGGCTAAACATTCATAAAATAAATATAAATAACCTTAAAAAAAAAAAAAGGCCTGGTATAATGGCATATACCTGTTATTCCAGCACCAGGAAGGCAGGTCTTTCTGGGTTCAAGGCAAGCCTGGTCTACAACACACACACACACACACACAAAATGTCAAGGACCTGGCATCTTGTAGTGTCAGGGGAGACACACAGACACCCATACCTGTCCACATTGACATTCTCTGGAGAATGGGGGCTAAAGGCAGGAGCACCTTGCACCCTATGAGGCCATTCTGCGGCCTGGAATGCAGGAGGCCCAGGTCTCCCTGTCCCTCATGTGGGCTGTGGCTAGGGAATCTGGTGAAGAGGGAAACCAGGCTAGGAAGCGTTGCCACAGCAGCTCATGTTCTCAGGGGGATGCTGAGGAGAAACCCATGCTGCTAGCTAGTGAGCCTCAGACTCCTGCACTCCAGCCTGCCTTTGAGGGCACAGACGAAGTGAATGTGGTAGACTCCCGAGCCCACCACCCTGCCGCTCCTCGCACAGGGACCCAATCTTCTCCTGCATCACGAAGACACTGGCCTTAGAGTGAGAAGGAAGATGATGGGCAAGAGCAGCCCTGGCACTGGAGATATTGCTGCTCTGGAGGCTTCGGCTGGAGGTGTCTAAAAGAGACGTTATTAAAAATAACTAGAGCCAGTCAAGCCTTTAATTCCAGCACTTGAGAGGCAAAAACAGGAGGATCTCTGGGTTCAAGACCAGCCTAGGCAGTTACATGACAGCCATGGGCTACATAGTGAAACCCTGTCTCAAAATAAGTAAGTAATCTTTAAACTAACAGTAGTTAGAGCAGGCTGGAAAGAAGGCTCAGCTGCAAAGAACACTGTCGGCTCTCCTGGAGGACCCTGGATAGAGTCCCAGCACCCGCATGGTGGCTCACAAAGGTCTGTAACCCCAGTTTCAGGAAATCTGATGCCCTTTTTGACCTCTGCCCACACCAGGCACAAATGTGTTGCACAAACACATGAGGCTAAACACCCATTGTTGTTGATTATTATTGATTTCTCTTTTAAACAGTGGTTATTCTTAAACCAGCTGTATACCCAAATCACCACACAGAGACTAGGATTTATTTAATTAACCTGGAGCACAATGCTGGGCAATAATTACTCCATCCTAAACCTCCAAGCCCACATAGCTTCCTCCCATTCAGATTCCTACATTGTACTTGCTTTTAGTCATATCTTAGGTCAGGTTCATCTCTCCTGGTGGTTCCAAGTCTTCTGCTCTCCGATCTCTCTCCTGACTCCTCCAACTCACTTCCCTCTCCTCCCCTCTGGACCAGGATGTCCCATCCTATTCTCTCCATTGCTCAGCATTGGCTGGTTGTCCTAGTGACAATACAGAGGACAAAATGGTGGCATGTTTACACAAACTTGAGACAGGTGATGCTTAGAATAAGCATCACAATGCAATGTCCAGATTGAAACTAGATAGTGGGGTAGAGAAATCAGCATTTGAATGAGCAAGGGTAAATTGTATACATTCCACGAGAACATTATACCTACAACCCATACACATTAAAATAAGAATTAGAACTTTAATCATAAAGAAGAAAGTGATCCAGATGCTGATAAAAGATGGAGATCTAGAGTAGAAGATGAGGATTCTGAATCATCAAAAGGAAAAAGAGTTAAATTGGAAATCTGAAATTGTTGCTAGTTCTTCAAGACATAGGTAAATTGAAACAAGGCTAACAGACTTAAAACTTTGAAAGTCCACCTAAGAGGTTTGTAGAGATGGCTCAGAGGTTCAGAGCACTGTCTGCTCTTCCAGAGGTCCCAAGTTCAGTTCTCAGCAACAACTTGGTGGCTCATAACCATCTATACTGGGATCTGATGCCTTCCTCTGGCCTACTTGCAAATAGATAAAATACTATAAAATAACTAAATAAGTCTTTTTTAAAAAATACTTAGAAAGAGAGAAAGTCCGCCTAATTAGATTTAACATGTTGAGCAAGAGGTGTTGTGAAAAACATACAAACTATATCATTATTTCTGTAACTATAATGTGATGGAAGTTTTGGGTTCTTTGTAAACTCAGTTATGTAAACGTGTTTTTGTTTTAATCCCAAGTGTGGGATTTTAGTTTGAGCTTTAGTTTGTCTACAGCTGTTAATTGTCTCAATGGGACATGGTTTTGCCAGCTGGTAATGGCCTACCTCATGCCTCGTTCAGTACAGAGAGGGGCGTGGTCTATGGAAGTCCGGAGAAAGAGAAGGAGTAGCAGTCTTAAGAGACCAGAGACAGACAGTGTGGCAGAAATAATCCTTTTGGAGCACAGCGGCTTAGAGGAGGCTGCTGGCTGCATTTGCTGTTGATGGAGACTCATTGACCCTAAAGAGCCGGGAGAAGTAAAGAAATCTGTGCCCCCTCTCCCCACTGACCTTCTCTCTCCCACCTAGGGTTGGGGGTCTTGGTGTAAAGGAGAGAGAGGCCTAAACACCCCAAATAAAGAAGAGTTTTAAAAAAGCGCTACACTACAATTTGTGATAGACTGAATGATAACAGGAATAAAGACAGCAGCTCAAAAGACTACTTAAACTTTAATATCATTTCAGGACTCCTATAAAACCCAAGGGGAGGGGACTGAACTGAATATCTTTGTGTCTCTTACCAATGTAACCATTAAATAAATGTCTTTTTTTATACTTAAAAAAAAATTTTTTTTTTAAATATGACAGGCAGATCTCTGAGTTAGGGACCAGCCTGGTCTACAGAGCGAGTCTAGGACAGCCAAGTCTACACAGAGAAGCCCTATCTCAGAAAACAACAACAACAAAAGAGTTGGTTCTACCAACTATATTTCCATGTAAGGCAGGATAAATACAGGTGACCATTTCCCTGATGGCCATCTGCATCAACTAAGTTGATAAAGGTGGCTTTATCAACTTGGGCTCTGGCCCACTGAGACTTTGTTTACCCAAGACCTCACTGACTGCTTGCCTGGAAACATTGGCTGACAAAATGGATGGTAACAAAAGATTTAGTTGCAACTTTAACAGAGTAGTAATCACCACTGACCTGCCGGATACAGCTGCTGTGGTCAGTTTCTTTAGTTGCCAAGTATGATTTTCCCACACTTGACCGTATCCATAGAATCAGTCATGATGGACATTTTGGCTACAAAGGTGTTACTATTAATACGATGACAGAAGACAAGAGGACTCGTGTAGACACTGAAACCTTCTACAATGCTTCCAGAGAGGGGCTGTTCCCTAATATTACTGACCTCAACTGTCAGAGACTTGTTAGGTTACCTAGCCCAGTTCACTGGCTGGGGAAAAGCTTCAGACAGGAGATGAGAAAGGAGAGAACCAAGAAATGGACACTTTCTGCCTCTTTTTTGTTTGTTTATTTTTTGGATTGTTTATTTGTTTTGTTTGTTTTTGGGTTTGTTTGTTTGTTTGTTTGTTTTGAGACAAGGTTTCTCTGTGTAGCCTTGGCTGTCCTGGACTCGCTTTTTGTGGATCAGGCCTGGAATTCACAGAGCTCCGCCTACCTCTGCCTCCCAGAGTGCTAGGATCACAAGCATAAGCCACCTCACCCAGCTCACTTTATCCTTAAAAAAAAAAAAAAAAAGGCTGGAAGGAGGAGGTGCAGGCCTTTAATCCCAGTACACAGGAGGCAGAGACAGGCAGACCTCTGAGTTGGAGACCAGCCTGGTCTACAGAGCAAATTCCAGGACAGCCAGGGTTACACAGAGAAACCCTGGTCTCAAATAAATAAATAAATAAATAAATAAATAAATAAGTAAATAAATAAATAAAAAATAAAAAACAAAAACTAAATAAAAAATTAAACAAATAAAGTTCCATTGAAAAAATATTTGAATAAAAGTCATGCCTGTGGCAAAGAGGAAGGCATGACATTTGTATGCCTCTTCCTTTGGAATAGGCTCTTTCCACAGTCTCATTTCTTGACCCAAAGCACACTGGTTCATCTCCTTCATCCAGTTCACTCCTGATCCCAGAGGCCCTAAATATTTGAAACAATTTGAGAGACTATCATATGGCACAATAAAGAGGTTTTAAGACACAATAATTATCTTTCTTCGTTTTTTGTTTGGGTTTTGTTTTGTTTAGACACAATAATTCTTGACTCTGAATGATAAGTCCAAAGAAAGTCATTTGTAAAATGAAGCTCAAGTGTGCTGGTGACATCATAGAAGGGAAAGTTCCAAGAGAATATAGTCAGATCTTCCTGGAAGCCTGGGCTGAAGCTGAATTGAGCTCAGCTTTAGGAGATCCAGTAACGGTCCTTTGGGTTCTACACTTGAGCTTTCTTTGTTCCAGGAGTTGCAGTAGAGTCATGGACCAACGATCTTCGAGGATGAGAATAGAAGGCAGTAAACTGGATATGAGACATCGTTCCCATTCACCATCCTTCTACACACACCATAGGCCAAACCAAAGCGGAGCCCGCCAGCAACAACATGGTGGATTCCACAATCAAAATGAAGCCCACCCTCTCCACGAATTCCCAGACTACTATGACAATGCTTTCTCCCAGCGCACCCATCACCAGACCAGGAGCCATGTCGCTACATCTCACTATGGTGGTGGACCCCAAAGGGGCTCTATCCCCCGTGCTGAGCCTCACCCTCGTGGCGGGTCCCGCGGTGGGACTCAGCCCCACAGTGAGCCTCACCGCCATGGCGCGTCTCGTGGTGGGACTCAGCCCCACAGTGAGCCTCACCGCCTTGGCGCGACCCGTAGTACAGCTCAGCCACATGCTGGAACTTATCATAATGAGCCCTATCACCCTGGCAGACAACACCCGCAAGGTGGACTTCCCTATCAGGGGACCCAAAGACAGAGTGATTCTTTATCCCACACCTCTGTTGGGTCGTACACCCAAAGGGATGCTCCTCACCATGGAAAATTTCACTATGGTGGTATGCAGCACCGCCACGGTGAATCCCATCAACAGGCTCACCACCATGGCAGACACCACATCCCATACAGAGGGCAGACTCATGTGAGAGACCCCTACAGAGGCTTTCCGGACTCCTACCAAGGAAGACACCAGCTCCAGGGTGTTTCCCCTCAATCCAGTTACTTCCAGCCCAGAGAGTATGGCCCCCACCACTCTCAGAGCGGCTCCCAGATCCCTAGCCCATACATGTCTCACTCCACAATACAAATGTCCCATTCTCATCTGGGAACCAGAAGCTCAGGCTTCAGTATGGCTCGGTCCCACCTGACATCCCGATCTCGTGTTTCCAGTAAAATTCATCCCAAGGAGGACTCTTGGAGTGATGATGAGCAAATTCAGAAGCGCAAAAGTGAGTCTTTACTGGGCCCCCAATCCTGACTCCTACTTCCTCGCTCAGATTCATGCAGAGCTAAGGAGACCCTGAACAGGCTTTCCACACGTTAGGCGTTTATCAAATGTAAATGTCTGGTCTTCCTGTGTCCTTACAATACAGGGAAGAATTTAGGACAGTGGCTGCATTCACAAGATCAAAGCTAAGGGTGGGTACAATCACAGGCCATCTAATGACAAGGGGCCTGACTTCTTGTACATCAAGATATTTGCCTCTGTGGAGTCTGTGTCCACACTTGCCTTGCTAAACTGTGAGGCAATTGCCAAGGACATAGCCTGTAAACTGAAGCTAAGTGGAGAAACAAACTTATCAGAAGGCATGGAGAGATCTTACTGTTACCATCTCCCAGACTCTGTGCCTACTAGTTCAGCAAATATCCCAGCAGTCACATCAGCAACCAGAGAGGGACTGGTGACTTACTAAATGAGAACAGAAAAAGTAGTCATGGGGAAGGGATGATTTAGCAGGATCTTTTTTTTAATTACATTTTTTATTTTTTATATTAATCACAGTTTATTCACTTTGTATCCCAGCTGTAGCCCCCTCCTTAATCTCCTCCCAACCTCACCCTCCCTCCCTCATCTCCTCCTATGCCCGTCAAATATTTTATTTATCTTTATTTTATGTGCATTAGTGTTTTGCCTGCAAATATGTCTGTGATGCAGGGTGTCAGATCCTGGAGTTACAGGACAGCTGTGAGCTGCCATGTGGGTGCTGGGAATTGAACCCAGGTATTTAGCAGGATCTTAAGTGGGGCAGGGGGGCGGAGATCACCAAGAGCGTGGTATGGCAACAAGAATTGGTTTTTCTTTAAGTTTCCATGTGAGCAAAGATAGATCTGGAGTTGTAAGGTCAGGAATGCTTAGGACCTGCCAAACCAAATCACAAACAGTGTGACATGAAAGGTTATAAGGACTGTGACCCCAAGTCCAGCAAAGGATAAGCATAGTGGCACAACAGTGAATGAACAAGAGGAAGGATGACAATAAGGCATAAATGGGAGGATGCCTGGGATCACTGCACCCAATCACTAGCTACATGGGTTTAACTTTCTGACTTCCTTACAGAGACCCAGAGGGCCCACAAAAAGCTGCACTCTGGGAATATTTTCCAATTGATTTTGGACAAAATAAACACCCTCATTTGGGGTCTCCGGGAAATGATGATGTCGCTGACCCAATCCCTGGGCTTTGAGACCTTCATCTTCCTTGTGGTTTGCCTCAACTCAGTCATCCTTGTGGCCCAGACCTTCACTGAGATGGAGATTCGAGGTGGTAAGGGTCAGGTGGCCCTGTCCCTATGCTGAAGATAACTGATGTGGCTGCAGGGCCTCCCAGGACCCTGATCTAGTGGCATGAGGTCTTCAAAACTTATATCACTTCATCTTCACCCCCGTGGCAACTTGTTAGCATTCCGAGAGGTAGAAAACCCAGTGAACTGTAGGCCATGCTGTTCAAGATGTAGCCATCAGGGGGCAGTATGTTCCGAATATACCACTCTGAGTAGGGAGGATACTGGGAATCCTGGGTCTAAGAAGAGCCAAAAGGCTCCTACCAAAAGGTCCTGAAAAGCTAAACGTGGAAAGCCTGAGAATCTTGGTTTCTGGAGCCCGGTAGAGCCAGGTGATGACAAAGAGTCACTTCATGCCCACAGTTCAAGGCTGCAGTTTTAGTACATGTTAGATGCATTTGTGTTCATAAAGAATAGTAGTCAAGCAGACTATCGTTGCTCCCATCTTACAAATAAGAAAACCCAGGAACTGAGTGGTTAAGTCACTCAGCCATTTAAAGGAGCTGGGGAACTGGGTGCATGCCTTTAATTCCAGCAGAATGAAGCAGAGGCAGGCAGATCTCCATGAGTTTGAGACTAGTTTGGCCTACATAGCAAGTTTCAGGCCAGCCAGAGCTACATAATAAGACTCTGTCTCAACAAAACAAAACAAAAAAAAAAAAAAAAAAAAAAAAAAAAAAAAAAAAAAAAAAAAAAAACCGAACAAAAAAATCCCAGCCAAGGACAGTCTGGGTAAGGTCTTAGTGATGAAGGGGGGAGTGGGTGCCCAGGATGCCAGGGACTGTCCCTGAGAAAGCCTCTGGTGTTCCCACAGAATGGTACTTCATGGTCTTGGACTCCATTTTCCTCGCCATCTACGTGGTAGAAGCCTTGCTCAAGCTAATTGCCCTGGGTGTGGAGTATTTTTATGACCCATGGAACAATCTGGGTGTGTGGCAGGACCGGGATGGGAGGGGGACTAAGGATAGGGTGGGGAAGGGGCATTGAACTGTTTGGGGGAGTTAAGGACAAAGGAGAGTCTGGAATGGGTTGCTGGGTTTGGAAAGCCTGTGGGTCTGTTTGGCCTGTTTGGCCCCTCCCTAACTCAAGGTACCCTCTGTCCTCAGACTTCTTCATCATGGTCATGGCAGTGTTGGACTTTGTGCTCCTCCAGATCAACTCCCTCTCCTATTCGTTCTACAACCACAGCCTGTTCCGGATTCTCAAAGTCTTCAAGAGCATGAGGGCTCTGAGGGCTATCCGGGTCCTTCGGAGGCTCAGGTCATTGCTGCCAAGGAAAAGGGAGCATGGGCTTGGATGTCCAGGGAGTGCACTGTGACCTGTTTCTGGGGTGGTGGCAGGTTGTGGCCCCTGCGTACTTGGGAATCCTGGGGTTCATGCCGGGATCGGTCTCTTTATTTTCCAAGGAAGGGTCGGGAGTTGACTAAATCACCTATGAATTAGGGACCTCCTAATTTAGTGCCCAGTCTGGTTCCTGGGTTCCAGCTCCCCACTTCCATCCCCACTAATTCGGACTCCCTCTCTGTCCCCGCCCACAGCATCCTCACCAGCCTCCATGAAGTGACGGGGACTCTGAGTGGTTCTTTGCCATCCATCACAGCCATTCTAACCCTCATGTTCACCTGCATCTGTATCCTGGGCAGTGGAGGCTGGGCAGCCGCTGGTCCAGAGCCGATGGGAGTGGGGAGAAGCAGGTCGGGGGAGGGGAGACTAAGTGCAACCTCGTGAGATACGGGTACAGTGTCCGAGGATCTGGTTGTGGTTTGGCCCTAAGCGGTTTCCAGTCCTTTTCTCTGTGGTCCTCCGGGCACTGTTCCGGAAATCAGACCCCAAGCGCTTCCAGAACATCTTTACCACCCTCTTCACCCTCTTCACCCTGCTCACCTTGGATGACTGGTCTATCATCTACATGGACAGCAGGGCACAGGGTGGGTAAAGGGCAGGGTCCAAGGGCTGGTGGGCAGACTAATGGCTGAGTTACCCCTGCCGTAGGGGGGCTGCTGATAGCTGGTAGAAAGGTGGGAGTCGGGAAAGCCTCTTGACTGACGCTTTTCCTCCCCCAGGGGCCTGGTACATCATCCCCATCCTCATGATTTACATCATTATCCAGTACTTCATCTTCCTCAAGTGAGGCATCTATTTTACTGCCCGGCTTCGCTAAGGGCTCTCTGCCTAACTCACCCCAGTCCTCTCACCCTCGTCATGGCCACGCTGGACCCAAGGACGGCCTGTGGCCTCTTCCCTGGTGTCCCCTTTGAGAGCACCCCACTTTCCCCTCTGCAGCCTGGTGATTGCTGTCCTGGTAGATAACTTCCAGATGGCACTGCTCAAAGGCCTGGAGAAAGTGAAGATAGAGGTGCTGCACAGACGGGGCAGGGGCACGGGGAGGAGCAAGCATGGCAGGGGGCGGGGCCAGGGGAGAAACCGAGGTAGAACGAAGGTCTTTTATCTAGAAAGCTGCCCGGGTCCATGAGAAGTTGCTGGACGACTCTCTGACAGAGCTGACCCAAGCAGGTACTGGCCATTCCCTCCTCCTTCCCATCCACTCCCCCTCTAGAGTAGCCAGGCTGCTTCAGGGCTTTAGAATCGGAGATATGAGAGTATCTAAGTTTAGAAATTTGGTCCAAAGGACTCTAGACAGTCCTCTAAAAGCCAATCAAATTCATCAGTTTTTGGAAGATCTTACTTGCAACACCAATTGTGGTCTATCAAACCATAGAAACTATTGCTTCTGTAACTAACCTACAAGATTCCAGCAGTTGGTCCCCCATGAGACCTTTATAACTGCCGTTATGAATCGAATCAGGATCACACGTACTGATCCAGAGTCACTAGCACCTGTAATCCCAGGACTTGGGAGGGGGGAGGCAGGTGGATCCCTGAGTTGGAGGCCAGCCTGGTCTACAGAGTGAGTTTCAGGACAGCCTGGGCTACACAGAGAAACCCTGTCTCAAAAAACAAAAACAGTCTTTGGGACAAAAAGAGAGAGAAGAAGTAAAAGAAATGAATATTAGTGTCTGGGTTTCAGAACTCAGAACTCTCAGATCAGCAAAACAGATCCCCCACTTATGACTGATAGATTACCTTAAGTGAAAAGATAAATAAATTGGCTCCACTTAACAAGCTGACAGTGCAAGGAATTTGGCTTGATCCAGTACTCAAGCAGTAGTCAGGATTGGGTCTCCTATGTTTATGCCTTGTTGGCCTTTGTTTTGTTTTTTTGGTTTTGTTTTCTTTTTTCCTGGTCTTTGGGTTTGGGGTTTCGGGATGAGGTTTCTCTGTATATCCCTGGCTGTCCTGGAACTTGCTCTGTAGACCAGGCTGGTCTCCAACTCAGAGATCCACCTGCCTCTGCCTCCTGAGTGCTGGGATTAAAGGCGTGAGCCACCGCCACCCAGTCTACTGGCTTCTTGAATACAGTCGTTTGCCTGGGCATTCTCTTCACAATATGCCCCCCACCCCATCTCTCCATCCAGACACTGAGGCCCAAATGAGCGAAAGTGCTTTGCAAACGCAGTTTATTGACAGAATGTTTGGCAACATGACAGAGAGGTGAGGAGATGGAAGGAAGGGAAAAAACCGTGGGTCCAGGGCAAGAGGTCTGGATAGCTGATGGTGGCCTGGGAAAAAAAAGAACATTGCCTGTCTCTTGGGTGGAAGGAAGTGGGTCGGGAACGCATTGTTTCCAGGCCCACAAATAGGACATAAGAACCGTAAGTGGCCCTGGACAGTGAGGCTCAGTATCCAGCTCTCAGAGAAGGACTGTGTCAGCTGCACAGCAGGGATCCTATCAGTAGCACAGCTTTCTTCTCTCTCTCTCTCTCTCTGTTTTCTGAGACATGGTCTCTCTGCATAGCCCTGGCTATCCTGGAACTTGATCTGTAAACCAGATTGACCTGGAACTTAGAGATCTCCTGCCTCTGCCCCCCAAGTGCTGGGACTAAAGGCCTGCAGCCACCACCGGCACCACCTGGCTTCTCTTTATCAAAATATCCTGACCCTTGTCAGATGCAGGCCCCACAGGAGGGCCAGGGACCTAGAGAAAACTCATAGTCAGTTACTGCTGCTCAGGTTCACACTGCCAGAATCTTTGCTGGTTCACTGGGGACTGACAGGTTTCAGTCACGTGGAAGGTTGAAGATTGCTGCAGAGAATTGTTTGGGCAAGGTCTGGAGACCACATGGTCATCCCCATCTAGCCCTGGCCCAGCCAACTGAATATTCTTGCTGAAGAGCAGGGCCCTTGGCAACAGGCTGTTGTGACTTCGTCCTTAGGCCTAGGTCTCTTGAGATTCTTTGTGATAGCCAAGCTTTGTGCCCCTCCCCTGAGCCAGTCTGGCTTCAGATCATTACAGAGGTCACACCTGAGAGCTGAGAGAGAATCCAAGATATCCAGAGTTATGTACGATCGGGCTGGTGCTAGTGTCCCTCCTACCACAGCCATTGCTGCCTGTGACAGAACCTTGTGTTTCTCACACGCTCTCCAAAGCTCATCCATTCACTGCTGCCAGCCTTGGCCTACACTGTTGTTTCTGGTTAGATATCCATGCCAGACTCAGAGGGCCAGGACTTGAGAGAGCTAATTTAAATCCTGACTACCGGCACCTACCGGGTCACTCTCTTGTTCACCCTACATGCTGCAAGACCTGAGTCACCACTGTGGCCCTTGCCATACTGGTCTACACACACACACACACACACACACACACACACACACACACACACACA